TGTAGTTTTTTTTTTTTTTTTTTGCCATTTCACAGGCATATGCAATTTTAAGGTTTGATATTTACTCAGCGCAACCCCATATTTTATTTGACCAAAAATGGGTATTATACTGTGCTTGTGTGCACTAAAATTCCTTTAGTTGTATTTTTCCCTCAAAATATCAATTTGATAAACATTTGTGTAAATATGCAGAATGAAAAATTGCAACCAGCATTTGGAGGCTGTTGTCTTTGGAGCTCTATGGGCAGCTTTTCTAAGGCTGCACAGTTAACAATCAGCCTTGCTTTATAACTCATTCTGGAGGCAGGTCTATAGACTAAAGAGAAATTTCCCTTTAAGGGAAAATCTAATGTCTCTTACACCTTACCCCTTATCGGATATAAGTGACGGTTCTTCTCTGCAGTCTCAGTCCCCACATAGTATGAAACATTTCTGGATGAGTGCAGTGCATTCACCTAGGATGGATTCAGAGCTCTGCAGTTTCACCATCCTGGCTTCTACCTCTGCTTTCGTCGTCATTTCAGTAAGAGTTAGCTGTACTCCTATAAAGACGTGGCCTGACTCCTCATTTTGCTTTTACTGGTGATATGCTCTGGCCAAGTCATCACCTTCTTGTGCAATTCTATTTGTTTTAATCAAAGGCAACTTATCTGTGCAATCCAATTTCTTCTAACATACCTCCTGTCCTAGGCTGACAATGCTGCTCCACCACAGATGAAGTGTAGTAAGTGAGCACTACTGTCGCTCTAGGACAGGATGTGTGTTATTGAAAGGATCATCAGGTAGAAAAATGTGTTCGTTTACTGGCTCCAAAGCGGATACTTTGGCTTCAATGCTGTCTAAGCTGCTGACCCAGAACAGGTATAGAGATAAGGATTTCCTGGTACTCGATTATAGCATGCTTAGTCCAGGTCTGTGACTCAAAAGCTAGCCAGCATTTAAAAAAAAAAGGAATGCCAGTATAGGCATCCCCAAAAATATTATCATAACAGCCATTTTACGGGCCTTATCTGCAATCGATTGAATCTCAGGAGTTGGTTAACATGGGTATGGACTGCAAATGTCTGACAAGCAGGAGGCTGCTAGATAGATAATTTACATCTGGCAAGCAACAAAGCACAAAATGTGAAAGTCAAAACATTACTTCCAGACAAGCTTTACAGCAGCGATCTAACTGTGTACTGAAATACTGTACTGCAATCACAATATAGTTTACCTTTAATATAAATAGAATGAACCAACCTTAGATGAGACAATCCTGTTATCGCAGAATTTTGGTGCAATGTAAGAATCTGTTTCCAAAGCTGGCCTGTGTCCCACGTACACTGTGCGTGTTCCCACGCGGTTCTCTTCTCCAGGGCACTGTCAAAACACAAGAGAAATAACTGAAGTTAATGGTTCAGTTCTTGAGGTTAATGCAAAACAATACTTGAAAGATATTACATCCATTGCCAGAAGATCAATCTGCAGCTTCCCCTTCTGGTCAAGACTGCATTCCTGATTTCACTGGACACTTTGCCTCTAGTGCTGTTGTACAGAGAGACATATCCCACAATGATGGCTTATTGTAGGACTCAAGATACCGGCTTTAGGAGTTACTGGACGCATTCCATTTAGGAAATGACAGTTTTTAAATGTTTATCTCATCCTTCTATTTCAGCAAGGACAACTCAGGTCTTATCGGAAACAAATACGCTTTTCTTGGATTATATGAAAGATCTACAGGAAATAGCAAAACACACTTAACTCAACTGTGTTTAGCACTTGTTATGGAACACAAACATTAACCTGTTGTGACATTGATGTATTTGACGCAGTGGGCTCATTTACCCGGTTCCCAATTTTAGATGTTAATTCAAAATATTACACAATGGGAAACACCCCCACCAATGTCCCTACTGAAATGGATATGGAATATGAAGAACTACTATTGTATACTACCTTCTCTATAGGTTGAACTCGATGGACATGTGTCTTTTTTCAACTGTGTATTGTGAGCTGCATGGCCTCCATCTGCCTTCTACATTTGTTCTTGGTTGTTATGTGTGGCTTCTCTTCTTTAGCATAATTGTTTAGACCTAGCTATAATATGGATTAGCTGTGATGTAGCGCCATGTTATGTCTGAATGCCGCAGCAGTAACCAACTATGTAACCACAGCGCTCCTAAGCCCAAGAGCCAACACTCTAAGATGTAGGAATGAAAGCCACTCTGTACATGTGCAAGAGACAGGGCCCACAATAGAGCACAGAAATAGTGAAAGCATCATAATTATTGTTTTTTTTTTCACTGAAAAAGGTTTTATGATTCTATAGTTTGAAGTCCAATGTCAACTGGGTTAGGTGGTCAAACACAACATGTACCAAGAAAAATACTGAGATCTACTCCCCCATCAGTTATTGTATTCTAACAGCAGGGGGTGTGCCACTGTCACAATACCAAATCAGTGACTGCAGCAGAGAATTTTTGGACTGGCTCCTTTGATACAAGATGATTGAAAAATCAACTTTTGTCAAATGGAGGGGCCACACACTGGCCGAATTTCGACAAGTCAGCAGGACTTCCAAATGCTCGGCTTATATTCGGGTCAATACTTTTTCCCAGTTTTTTGTGGTAAAATTATATTCGGGACGGCTTATACTCGAGTATATACGGTACCTCATTTTCCATATTTTACAGCGCCCGCCTATCTGTGAACCGTTTACCTTTGCCATTAAAAGGTTTTGAGGCCACACAAAGCAGGGATTCTCTTCCCCCCCTCTGTGTCTGTAAAACTGACTACAGAGATACAGGCACGCGTCCTGTAACTATCAGGGAAACAGTAAGACTGACCATGCTGACCCGGATCTGCTTCCATGCTTGGCAAGGCCAGTTTAGGAAGGTTCACTACTTTAAAGCATATCATAAATTGTATTTCCACCTTTGCAGCCAAATTGGGATGACAGCTACCTTTATATGTTACCTGTTCTCATTGACACAGCATAACTTCAAAAAAAAAATTAAAAACTGCTGTTCCCATTTTTAAGTGCTTTTTACTTGTTTAAAAATCCTACCTCACTTCCCCCCTATGTAATGGTAAAGAAGGACTCCAAGGATTTTTTCAAATTAACCCTTGCAGTGGGGCTAACCCAGTGCTGCTCATTTTTGTCTAGAAACGAAAAGGAAATATACTCATCTGAACTTTGGAACCTAGACCGGTACCTGCAGCCTCTTCTCCCCTGGGTTCCGGTTGTCTAAGACCCTCTGATGTCATCATGCCCATTAAAAGTGAGGATGCCAAGGGACATACCACAGCCAGAGTAAAGGTGGAGAGAGGAGAGCGCATATTGCAGCAGGACCGATGATCAGGTGTGTATATTGTCTATATTTTCGCCCCTAAACCAAAGCGAGCGCTAAACCCTTGCAGTGCAGGGGTAGCCCCTTGCAAGGGTTAATTTCTTTGAGGGGGCTATAGGAATTTATATTTACACTAATTAACCCCTTCTGTAGTGTGCTGGCAGAATTATCAGTTGTAAACTAGATTTGAACACTGTCTGCCCCAACAAAGGGTTAAAGACTTGAAAGTATTGTATGTTAATGTGAAGAAGCTCAGTCGGAAAGTGAAAGTAGAGTCAAACTGCTCAGCGTAACCTGGATTCTGCACAAAGGCCTTCACCAAATCAACATCTAAAAAGGTAAAAAACATATATGTTTAAAAAAATCATTTTTGGTATGATGTATAAATAGGAACACAAACATATAGAGGGGCTTTCTCAAATTTGACTGCAAAAGTGGAAATGTCAATTAAAAAAATGCTAACAGATAGCTGCCGAGCCCAAATGAAGTTACATCATCCCAGTCTGGCCAATCAAGATGGCTGGGACTGAAAGCACCGGTGACAGAGCAAATGGGAGCACAGACTTTGCAGCAATGGAGGAGAGAACTTTGCAAGGAAATTTACCATAAAGCACAATTTACCATAAAGAGCATTGACATAATTCCCATCATTAAAATGAATGTACTAACAAAAAAACAAAAACATCACATTTGTCATATGGAAAACCAAGTACACCCCTATATTTACCACCACTTCAGATCCTGACCCTGCTGACCACCAGGGATATCCCTCTTATAACCTTCTCTTACTCTACCCAAAACTAAAAGAAAACAAAAAGTTTTAGCTTCATTTCTACTTAAAACCTTTGACATCAAAGGTCTGGTGTTCTTTGCTGTTGACATGTGTGGTGTCATCATGCCAAGGTCAACAAAGCTCTCTCGAAAGAAAGACATTTGTGGATGTTTGCGAGTGACAAGGAATTTAAAGAGAACTCCAAATGATTTGAACTCAATCATTCCACTATAAGGAAAATCATTTAGTGGCATTGATTTGAAAGAAATGCCAACTTGTCCGGGACTGGCCCACTAAGCAAATTCAACCCAGAAGAAGACTGTTTGCTACCAAAAGAAGTCCCCAAACAAGCCGAAAATGAATTGAGGGGTGTTCAGACAACTCTTCCAACAGCTGGAGAACAACACTTATCCATCTACAATCAGAGGGATTGAACCAATCTATCCTGCATGAGAGGTGTGTGAAGAAAGCAATCTCACAGATTGCCATTGAACATATAGGCAAAGACCAGAACAATATGCTGAAGACTGATCAACCAAAGATAGCGATAACACACTATTTCAGGAGAAGAACCTCATATCTTTGAAGCATAGAGGAGGAAATGGTATGGAATGGGGTTGCTTTGCTATTTCAGGTCCTGGGCAGGTCGCAGTCACAGAGTTCACTTTACATTCTGTATCACATCAAAGTTTACTTGAGAATAGGAGGCCATCTGTCCAAAAGTTGAAGTTTAACCAAAAATGAGTCTTTCAACTTGGCAATGATCCAAAGCACACTAGCAATTCCAGCAAGGAATGGCTCAAAAGGAAATAGAGTTATTGCCTGCCCCTTGGCAAAGCCCTGAATTGAATTCCTATTGTAATTTTAGAGGGGGGATTTTGAAATGGACAGTTCATGCAAGGAAACCAACAAACTTCTTGCAACTGAAGGTACTTAGCATAGAAAAGTGGACAAAAATGTTAATGTCAGATACTGGTGGGCAGTGATACAAATTAGAAAATGCCTACCCGAAGTAATTAAAAGGAGAATTATGAGGTGAGTGATTTCCACTCATCCTCATAGTTATAGCCGACCTGTGACAAAGAAGCGGTCACAGCGCTCACTCACTTTCCGATGATCTCCCTGCAGAGAGCGATCAGTCACCGCTCCCCACAGGGATTCCCCCCTCCCCTCTCTGATCCTCTAGCGCTGAGTGGAGGAACGGACGGGGGAGGGGGGGACACAGCTGGCTCTGTCTCTAGATAGGCAGAGCCAGCTGTCACTCACGTAGCTGTGTGGATCTCGACAGTATTGTCGGGATCTTTCCCGCCTGCAGTGCTCTCAGTATATCGTGGGCAATAGCTTGCTATATAAAGGAGCTTTGGGTCATGGAAAGAGGTTAGTATATGTCCTCCCGTCTTTCTAAAGAGAGCTATGGGGAAAAACACTTACCCGATAGTTCTCTTTTAATGCTACGGGGGGCAATACCAGCTTTGATGCCAAGGATGTACCTACTTTTTCAACAGTACACCATTACATCTATTGATATTCCTTTTGAATAAATGACTGAAAAGGCACATATATGTTGTGTTCTTATACAAATATATCACTTTTATCTGCAGGCACTGTTTGAATAAAAAGCTCTGTTGCCCCAATTTATGTGGGGTGTACCGAAAGAGACACTAAACTCAGGAGTTAAATCTTGAAAATACATTCAAGTACCTTAACTATTAACAAAAATGTATCATATTTGTGTATAACTTGGCTGTAGATCCTCAAATCATCTCTGTATTTGTGCTGACACTGTCCTTCCTTCTGGAGGGTGGCTACTTTTGTTCCCCATGGTCCCTGTGTGTCTTGTAAACTAGTCACCGCTCCAAGCTCACTCCCATGATGGACTACAATCTCAATACAAGTTAGATAACTAAATGTGAGTGTCGGGACTCGAGCCGCGGTCCGGTCCTGGCTGGGCCGTCTGATGCAGGGACACGGCACCCGGTGACAAGGCGGCCCGGCGGGGCACGCCCACCAGTGACGAGGCGGCCCGGCGGGGCACGCCCACCAGTGACGAGGCGGCCCGGCGGGGCACGCCCACCAGTGACGAGGCGGCCCGGCGGGGCACGCCCACCTATGACGAGGAGGCCCGGCAGGGCACGCCCACCTGTGACGCGACGGGCTGGTGGGACACGCCCCTGTGCGTCAGGACGCCGCCCAGTGATGTCACTAGGGCTATAAAAGGAGGCACAGCACTCCCAGTCATTGCTGAGTGCTCTTCA